ATTCCGAATTTATTTTGAGCATATACAGGGCACAACAATAAGACGAACTTTTTTGACCGAACTTTGCAACACCCTGTAGAGGTAGAGTGCAGCAGCTATAGTAGCAATTGCTAAAAAATTGCTTTGTTTTTTTAATCACGACATTATCTCTCTTTTTATTGGAGATACGCTGCTTTATAAAGAACGTCTCGGAAAAATGCTTCGCAGGCAGCAAGTTTTATGTGTAAATAATCAAGGCGACGGACGCGACGCGACATAGGCGAAAACGGATTTATGAGTATTTGCAATATGACAACAACGGTTGTCAAATGCCATTATCTATGACGGATGTTGCTCGTATTGTGGCTTTAATTGAGGATGGCTGAAGTCAACTTTATGTATCCCCTGGGTATACTTCGAACAACAGTCCCGAATGTCTGGAATCGGTATATGGAAATGGGAAATTTCACCAGGCGAGTGGGTTCCGGAAGAAAACGGAAGACAAATGCAATTGACGACCGCTTTAATTGTCCTGAATACTTTACGAAATCGTAGAATTACAGCATTTCAGAATCAACATCTGCTACAAGCCGTGCCTAGAACTCTAGTCAGTGAGAGAACAATCCAACTAGTAAATAAAGAAGACTAAAATAAAACAGCTTGTCTTCAAGGAGGTCTGCCACAGGACCCCAGCTACTTCCAAAACATCGTCGAGCACGTCTTCAATTTGCGCGTTTACATGTGAATTGGTTTGGTCGCGGTTTTGCCTGCAAAGCATTTTTCCGAGACGTTCGTTTTAAAGCAGCGTATCCCCAATACAAACAGAGATAATGTCGTGATTAAAAAAACACAATGCTCACAAAAGATGAGGCTACAATGTGATTTGATTTAGCAATAGCTACTACAGCTGCTTCGCCCTACAGGGTGTTACAAAGTTCGAGCAAAAAACTTCGTCTTATTGTTGTGCCCTGTATGTGCTTAAAATAAATTCGGAATAAAAATTTCAGACATAGCATCCGTTAAGAAGGAATTAATTTACAATTTAAAAAAAATCATCAAAATCTAATGAGCGGTTCCCGAGAAATCCAACTCTGAAACTGGGACTAGTTTTTAGTGGCCGGTTTTTTTTGCCGGTGAGTGTATACAGGGTCCGGCAATAGTGCGTCGGGCATCTGTAGCTCCTTAAATAAAAAACTTGGGAATTTTGTTTAAGTTCATTACAGTTGGGGGTTGGAACCTTCGATGTTACACAGCAAAATAAAACAATAAATCACCAAAACACTTTTACACCCAAACACTTTTACACTGGGCGCGCGTTTCGCTAACCAAAGTGCATACCTAAAGTATGTACTAGGATTTATTTCAGGAAAATATTTTAACTTCTATAGGGTGGCTCAAAAAAGTGTGAGTGGATGGGGATCATTTTTTTAAACGGAACACCCTGTATATTATTGCATTTTCGGCTTCCTTTCAGACCATTTTACATAATCCTAAGATATGAATAAATATATTTCGATAGTTTCAGAGATATTAATAAATAAATAAAAAATTTATATTTTTCAACCTTCATTAAAAAAATATTACAAATACAAGAACTGTCCTGAAATTCTGTATGATATACGATTACCATATTTATAGCAAAGTAAGTACAGACCATCTAAAGTAAATATCTAATATAGTTTTGATTTCAGGACAGTTCTCGTATTTTTAATATTTTTTTAAGACAGGTTTAAAAATATATATTTTTTATTTATTTATTAATATCTCTGAAACTATGGAAATATATTTACACATATCTTAGTTATATGTAAAGTGATCTGAAAAGAAGCCAAAAATGCAATAATATACAGAGAGTTCCATTTAAAAAAAATCATCCCGATCCACTCACACTTTTTTGAGCTACCGTATAAAAGTTCAAATATTTTCCTGGAATACATCCTAGAACATACTTTAGAGCAAAATAAAAACACTAAATCACCACAATACACCAAAACACTTTTACTTTTACACTGGACGCGGGTTTCGCTAACCATGTTAGCATCATCAGCAGATGATTATAAACTAATAGGGTGACTCAAAAAAGTGTGAGTGGATGGGAATTATTTTTTTAAACGGAACACTTAGTACTACAAAAAAAATGAATTTACTACAATCAATTGCATCGTTTGTAGTTTGTATACAACTAAAGACATTATGTCAACCTATGTTAGTTTCCAAATTTGACTATAATTTTCTAATTCCAAGAAACTTTCATTGAATTTTTTTGCTACTACATAAAACTACAAACGATTTTGAAGATTTTTAGGCGTTTGTAAAATCAATATTTTTTCTCTTTATTAAATTGCGCCCAATTGTTTACTTTTTCTGGCTAATTATTAATACTACAAAAAAATTGAATTTACTACAATCAATTGCATCGTTTGTAGTTTGTATACAACTAAAGACATTATGTCAACCTATATTAGTTTCCAAATTTGACTATAATTCTCTAATTCCAAGAAACTTTCATTGAATTTTTTTGCTACTACATAAAACTACAAACGATTTTGAAGATTTTTAGGCATTTGTTAAATCAATATTTTTTCTCTTTATTACATTGCGCCCAATTGTTTACTTTTTCTGGCTAATTATTAGTACTACAAAAAAATGAATTTACTACAATCAATTGCATCGTTTGTAGTTTGTATACAACTAAAGACATTATGTCAACCTATGTTAGTTTCTAAATTTGACTATAATTCTCTAATTCCAAGAAACTTTCATTGAATTTTTTTGCTACTACATAAAACTACAAACGATTTTGAAGATTTTTAGGCATTTGTTAAATCAATATTTTTTCTCTTTATTACATTGCGCCCAATTGTTTACTTTTTCTGGCTAATTATTAGTACTAAAAAAATGAATTTACTACAATCAATCGCATCGTTTGTAGTTTGTATACAACTAAAGGCATTATGTCAACCTATGTTAGTTTCCAAATTTGACTATAATTCTCTAATTCCAAGAAACTTTCATTGAATTTCTTTGCTACTACATAAAACTACAAACGATTTTGAAGGTTTTTAGCCATTTGTTAAAACAATATTTTTTCTCTTTATTACTTTGCGCCCAATTGTTTACTTTTTCTGACTAATTATTAGTACTACAAAAAAAAATGAATTTACTACAATCAATTGCATCGTTTCTAGTTTGTATACAACTAAAGCCATTATGTCAAACTATGTTAATTTCCAAATTTTACTATAATTCTCTAATTCCAAGAAACTTTGGTTGAGTTTTTTTGCTACTACATAAAACTATAAACGATTTTGAAGATTTTTAGACATTTGTTAAAACAATATTTTTTTTCTTTATTACATTGCGCACAATTGTTTACTTTTTCTGCCTAATTGTTAGTATTACAAAAAAATTGAATTTACTACAATCAATTACATCGTTTGTAGTTTGTATACAACTAAAGCCATTATGTCAAACTATGTTAATTTCCAAATTTTACTATAATTCCCTAATTCCAAGAAACTTTGGTTCAGTTTTTTTGCTCCTACATAAAACTACAAACGATTTTGAAGATTTTTAGACATTTGTTAAAACAATATTTTTTTCTTTATTACATTGCGCACAATTATTTACTTTTTCTGCCTAATTATTAGTATTACAAAAAAATTGAATTTACTACAATCAATTGCATCATTTGTAGTTGATAATAAGCCAAAAATCGAAAAGTTTACTATAAAGCGGGTTCCAATGTGACAGAGCTCTTATATTTTTATTAGTCCTTTAAATTCTAGTACTGAATATAAACCGACCGAGTCTCCATAGCTCAGCGCGTAGAGGTTTCGCCTATCAAGAGAGGAGTCAGAGTTCGAATCCGGGTCAGGACAAAAACTTTTCTATTTTATTTTCGATAGTAAGATAGTATTCTGATAGTGAAATATTAAATATTTATTTTTTTTTGAATCACCAGAATTATTTAATACTTTACTATCAGAATATATACGAAAATAAAACAAAAAAGTCCTTGCCCTGACCCGGATTCGAACTCTGAATCCTCGGTTCGTAGTCGGAAACTCTATGCACTGCGCTACGGAGACATGTTCGATTTATATTCAATACTAGAATTTATTGGACTAAATTTAAAAAAATATAGGATCTTTTTCCGATGAGCAGTAGTGAACATAACGGGTATCGGCAGCCAGACGGGCCGCATGCTGTTCCAGAGAGCATAGTAAAAGATATATCAAAGAGCCAGACGTCTTAAAATACTTTCTCGAAAACGTTGCTAGTTCTTATAGACTATTATAATAATAATATTTTAGGTATAGGAACATGTATAATCAAAAAGTAATGAATTGAAAACCTTTTCACTAGTAAAATTAAAAAAATGGGTTTCCATTTGAAAAAAATGGTTTATGATAATTTTTTAATCGCTCGATTCCATGACAGCTGCGGCCGATATTATATGACATCTAAACAATTTAATTTTTGGACTAGAATAGCCACATGTCTTCTCTTTATGCCCCAGTGGCTGTGGTAATCACTAAATTTGTCGTTTAGGCTATACAGATTTTTTTGACAGACAGTTTTTTTCCTCCAAAAATTATAAATATTTTTTTCCCAAAAACGGTTAATGTTAGGTATAGAGTGTTTGATATCAAAATTCATAAATTATACAGAGAATTTAAGTATGTAATAAAAAATGGGGGTACCTATTTAAAATAAGAAAGTTGCTGTCAACTTCCGGTATTTCCGGAAGTACCGCCATATTGGAAATATTTTTAATCGATAGATCTCGTTGTGGAACAGTAATGTGCAAAAAATCTTCGATCTAAATATTGTAGTTCTCTAGAAACGTCTAAGCACGCACAGCCTGGGACACCCTGTATATCAAGATATTATTTTTTTAATAAAAAATAAACTTTCAAAAAATTCCAAATCTTTATGTTAGCATGGCCAGACAACACTTGCGCTCCTGGCTGCTCGCATAGTGGAAAGCGCGAAATAGTAATATTCTTTTTTTTCAGGCAAGTTGTTACATCGCTTTAAAAGCTGGTGCAGAATCTGGATGGGACTTTTCATCCCGCTGGTTGTTTGATAGAGATGGAAAGACTAGCAGTAACTTAACCAGTATAGATACGAAAAGAATTGCCCCTGTGGACTTAAACGCCTTTCTTTACAAATCTTTCAGCCTATTATCAGAATATTATGGAGGCTTAGGGAATACAGGTAAAGAGGCAGAATGGGCGGAGAGAGCCAAAACATGGAGAGATACCATAGAAGCAGTTTTTTATGACAAGGACGATGGTATTTGGTACGATTACGATACGAAATTAAACAGAAATAGAAAAGTGTTTTTTGCAAGCAACTTTGCGCCGCTTTGGGCCCAAGCTTATGACCTTAAAAAGAAATCCGAATACGGAAAAAAAGCAGCAGAGTATATGAAAGCTGAATCAATCGACACATACCTTGGTGGTATACCAACATCTGTCGAACAGAGCGGCGAACAATGGGATTTACCAAACGGCTGGCCTCCATTACAGGAATTCGTAGTACTAGGTAAGTATTAGGATTCAGAACCGGGAAGTCTCTGTCTCGAAAGTACCTGTAGTTCCCGGTTCTTTTGAGACATCAAAGAACCGGCACTCGAAATTAATACCCGTTTCCTTCGGTACTTTCGGGACTCGGGAACAATAATTAAAAAATTATTTTTTAAAAAAATTTTAACAGACAGTAAGTTAAAATTAAAATGGCCCTTTTTGAGAAAGGAGGAGATAGCGTGGGCGTTATTTATCTGAAGTACATGACCATCTTTAAATGACCCCGCAGACTAACATGAAACTTTAATTTTTTTTCTTCGGCTAGTTTAGCCTCAATTTTTTTATATTATACTAACTCTGATGTTGTTATAGATGTCTTTATACAATTAGATGCACGTCTTCTATGCATAAAAATTATTATTTTTAAGTACAAAAAAAGTGTCTTGTATATCTCAATTTCCATCCAGTCGAAGAAGAAACGATTTCAACACAACAGTCAACGCATCAGATTTTTAGCGATTTGCCCCTGAAGTACTTTAATTTTTTAAGCAAAAACTATGCGTCCAACGAAAAAAAAATGAAGAGACAAAAATTATTTAAAAATAAATGAAGATTTTGAAAATGTTTATTTTAAGACAAGTCAGTGGCGTACCATTTTTTCTCAAAATATATTCTATATAAAACCCTTGCGGATGCCACTGGTTAAAATAAATAATTTCGTTTGAACATCAAAAAGATGTTTTGCTGCATAGAAAACATGGATCAAGTTTCATAAAGATATCTATAACATCAGAGTCATTATGAAAAAAAAATTTTGGAAAAATGTACCATTTTTAATGTTTAGAACATACATTCATACGAAGTTTTTCTCTTAGAATAGGTTCAAGAATCACTCCTTTAAATATTAACATGTTATTAAGGAATATCCTTTATGATTGCTATAATCAACTGTCAAAAAACGACTTTTTGTCCCTATACGCTCAAATTTTGTTTTTCCATAACTGTCAAACTGTCACGGTAGCAGACGGTAGCAGATAAATGTTTGCTATACTACCAGGGGGGTGACAGTGAAATAGGAAAATTGGAAACAGTCATCAGTGTCATTCCTGTCATTCTCCTCACGACAAGTATGGCCGCCTAGACAAGGACAGCGTTGTTTTTGTCTAACTATTGTCTAACTTCACAGTTTAGAATTGACAGATTTCAGTTTCAGAGACAACTTCAGATTTGTTCTAGAACAAATTCGAAAATATTCTACGCCATTTTAATTCATTCCGTTTAGTTTCGTTTTGGAAGTTCAATTTAATATTTCTGCTGAAATTTATAATTATAAAGGTAATAAAGTATATAAAATATATATTACATGAAGAATCCTGGAGAAAATGACGTTTCTGCAGTAGTAGGTATGTCCCATGTATATGAAAAATAGGTAGTAAATAAACACTGTTTTTACATTTTTTAGATGCAAGAAAATGGTGTTATAATCTCTTTGATCGGCGATTTTTTTGAAAATGGAAACAATTTACAGCAAGGTAAGATCATTTTTAACTATAGCCAACATCATTTATCTCCAATATGTGCGATTTATTGTCAATAATGCAATAAATCGGACTGATAATCTGATTATGTTATCCGACTAAAAGTCTCTTTTTGCTTCTTTTTGATTTATAAGCCAGGTCTCTTTGGGAATAATGGACGCTTTTTTAAACAGTATATTTATATTTTATACCTATTGATATTTTTAGATTGTTAATTTTAGTATAAAAAAATTTGTTTTTCTGTTTTCAGGTTTTTGTATAAGGCTCCCGTTTTCATGTCCCTGTGTCCGTTTTCTGTCCTTGAAGTCTGCGAATACGTGTGTTTATTTACAAATTACTGTAAGTCATGCTTATACCTTAACTAATTTACGTTAAAAGTACATATAATTAACTAATTGGTATTGAAACAATACAATCCTCTATATTTTTATGTTTATTTAGTCACGTTGTTCCATACTTCAAATAAATATATGTGAATAAATTATTTTTTGGTTTTATTTATGAAAAGAAAAAATACAAAATACATTTGAACTGAAAGAGGGCCCGCCATTGAATAACCGGAAACGGAAGTGAAAATTAAGCCATCATGTCCTTATCATGTCAACCTGTCAATTGGGAAATTAGTTCTCCAGACGACAACGAAGGCTTTCGGTGGCGTATCGTGTTTCCACGATTTAACACAGAGTTGACGCTTCTTTCTAGTTAATTATTTTATGTATACTACAGCAATTATATGGATATAAGTGATAAGGCGAATCCCATCGAATCTCAATTTATATAGTTCAAAAACTTTGATGTTTGTGTGTTTTTATCTAAACTGCCCGTCAAATTAAATACCATAGCGATTTTTTTACTCTTATTCAACGAATTGTAATGAAAATAATGGACCAATTTTGTTGATTTTTTTTAGCATATTTACCCGCACTTGCACCGTTTGTATAAACTTTGTTTAAACGCTAAACAGTGATTAACTTGTAACAAAACTCTTATAAAGGGTTAGGGGTTCGCTCAAGTCAAAGAAAACTCTTCGAAAAACACTCCGAAAATTCTTTATTCTTGGTATCTAAAATACTATACATTTACTCAGCAGGGGGAAAATTTTATATATATGGTACAATCTTACCTATCAAGCCTTTCTACTAACTTTTAAAAGTACAGTTTTACACTTTATGGCCACAGGATAATAAAATGAATACAATAAGAATAGTTGTTTCAGCGTACAGTAGCGAGAGTAAAATGAGAATCGAATTCAAATATGCAAGGCGCAAAAAAAGATTTAAATAAAAAACTGACTCTCCAGGTAGAGCTACGACCAAATAAGATTCCCCACATTGTTATGGCTGCTACAAACTATAATAAAATATGTATAGAATCACTGTTTAGCCTTTAAACAAAGTTTATGCAAACGGTGCAAGTGGGCATTAAGATCGTTTTTCGTAGATTGATCTGATTTTTCTAAATTTTGTATGAGATTTAGTTTCCTATGATATACAGGGTGTGAAAAAAAGGAATATAATTTTTGTAATTTTTGTGTTGCTGCCATTTTGCAAAAAAAATTAACTAGAATTATAAGTTTTGGGTATAGCTAAGACTAATATCTCGGGACGTATTTGGAATTTTTACGATAACTCATCTGGAATTGATGAGACCTTATGGTCTGTTAAGTTCAGAATATTAAAAAAATAATTTTACTTTTTCGCTGGTCGTATTTTTAAGACATCCTGTATTAAACTGCGTTAGTTTAATCATTTTTTTTTAATTTCACATTGTAAAAGTAACGAATATCGTACAATTTTAAAGTTAATTTCAGTTTTGTTAGCATATCTCTTAAGAAAGGTAGAAAAAACACAAGTTAGAGTAAAAATTGATTATCTTTTATTCCAGATCAGTTATCGTAAAAATTCCAAATACGTCCCGAGATATTAGTCTTAGCTATATACCCAGAACTTATAGTTCTAGTTATTTTTTTTGCAAAATGGCAGCAACACAAAAATTACAAAAATTACATTCCTTTTTTTCACACCCAGTATATCATAAAAAACTAAATCTCATACAAAATATAGAAAAATCAGATCAATTTACGAGAAACGATCTTTAATATGCTAAAAAATCAACAAAATCGGTCCATTTTTTCAAAGTTACAACTCGTTAAAAACGAGTAAAAAAATCGCTGTGGTATTTAATTTGACGGGCAGTTTAGTTTGTTGATGTTATTCTCTGTTTGAATCATAGATTTAAAGTTTGAACGATCTCACTTTGTGTTAACCCGTTCCACTGTGCGACGCTCCAAAGATCCATCTCAAGAGTAAATATTCATGGCCGTGACACACGAGCTACCAAGATGCGTGTCATCTTCCTAGCTCGATACGAAAAGTGTTAATGATCGAAAAAGGCGTAAGCCAATGAGGAAGTTAAAATGGGTCTTTGGAGCGTCGTAACTCGGGCCCTATGTGAGCTAGGAAGCTGAAACTCAGAATTTAGATGAGACTCGAACAGCTCCATCTTTTCACGATATTTTGGCGACGTTTCGTGCACTATAAAACCCCACCATTAAAGAATTATATGAAATTTGGTATGTCAATAGTCTGGACCAAGGCCAACTTGACCGTGTACGACACGTGACACTGTAGCAGTTAGTTTTGACGTAAGAAACGTCAAAAGTTGACGTCTAGGTAGGCTATGTGAGCGACGGTGCACACTGTCTCACCCTGCACGGTTGGATACGACGTTTTGTTTACATCTTCATTAAGGTGGGACTAAGGATTTGATATTGAAGAAAAATGTGAGCCGATTTCGGCATAATTCGGGACGGGCTATAGGATGACGCCCTCGACGTTTCGAACCGATGCATCTAAATGGGCGAAATAATCAGGATTTTTCTTAATTATAGGTCGATTGGAAACAAACTCGGCACGTGGATAGAGGTCTTGGAAATCGTGAATCTAGGTCTAGGAAAAAGTTGCAAGAGACATTTTTTCTTGGAAATATACCGAGTAAATAAAAAAACTCTGAAATTTTTATTTTTTATCAGTGGCGTACTATATTCTATTTTTGAAGAAATTACTCGATGCGTATCACATCTACGCCACGGGTTGAAACTAAAAGCTCTTCTTTTTACATTTAAGTGTCTGTGTTAGGCAGACTCCTATACTTAATAAAATTTTATAACGATACCTTCAACTGTTAAAAAACTATTACAAAATTTCTTAAAATTTTCAAAAACTTTAACACTCTGTATCTTGCGTAAGAGGCATTTTCAACCGATAGTGTGCTATATCAAAATTAATATTTCGACGTCCCCTATCATTTCCCGAAAGCATGACCGACTTACAGGAATCACCCTGTATAATCGAAGATGTATTATTTTCTTTTAAACACCCACGTAGCTCCATTACAGTACCGTTATATTATACAGGGTGTCCCAGAAATAAGTGCAAGTATTTTAAGGGGTGGTAGATCTCGATAAAAGAAACATATTTTC